ATGAAGTTCATTTTATCAGTTTTTTCTTTTATGAATCATGCTTTGGGTATCACATCTAAAGAATCTTTGCTTACCTCAAGATTACGAAGATTGGGAACAGCAGATGGAGTAATGGTTATGTTGCTGGACTCCCATGTAGTCAACCACAATTTGAGTCCCGGACCTGGCAGCTTAAAATTCATGCCGATGCATGTGCATGCATGCCCAAGATCCCGAGAGGAAAATAGAGAAGGGATTGTGGCATGGCCATTCCCCTCACTTTCTGTCTCTCTGTCTCTGGTGAGCACACGCGTCCTATAGCAAAAATCTCTCTCTTCAAAAAAAAAAAAAAAAATCACAAAGATTTCTTCCTATGTGTCAGATTAAAAATGTACCAATTTTGGGATCAGCAGTTGGCGTAATGCCTATGTCGCCGGACTCCCATGTCATTGACTGCAGTTCGAGTCCTTGGCCCATTGGCTTAAACTCACGCTAGCTGCATGTGCTTGCATTCCCAAGATCCCAGGAGGAGAAAGGATTGTGGCATGGCCATCACCCATGGGGAGTGATTTCTCACTTTCTGTCTGTTTGTCTCCCTCTGTCTTTGTGGTGAGCGCACGTGCCCTATTGCAAAAACCTCTCCCCCCCAAAAAAATTTTTTTAATGTAAAATGTACCAGTTTTATAGTTTTAGGTTTTATGTTTAGGTCTATGAGCCACTTTGAGTTAATTTGTGTACATGGTATAAGGTGTGTACCAAAGTTGATCTTTTTGTGTATGGCGATCCAGTTCCAGCAGTTGATGAAAATAATACCTTTTCATATAAATTTGAATATTTGTTTTTATTCATGGTAGAGTATATGCACAAGGGAATGGGGTACCCTCCCCAGGGTTTCGTCACAGTGTGATCCCTCTCCTTACAGTTTCCGGCACGTGCATGTACCTGGTGGGTTTTCAGGCTGACTGGGGCAAGAACTCAAAGCACAGTCAGCATGTGGCTTCCAGCTCTGCACTCCATAAGCTGCTGGCTGCATCGCAGAGGCTGGGCCTTCATATAAGTTTTAGAACTAACTTCTTGATGCCTATAGATGATTTTGGAGAGGACTGACATCAACACTGGCCCTGTAATTCATGAACATAGTGTATCTCTTCCGTGGTACGTGCCTTCGATTTGCCTCATCAGTGTTTTGTAGATTTCAGCATACAGATTGCACATATGTTGTCAGATTTATATTTAGCATTTTGTAGTGAGCTGAATGGTAACCCTGCCCCCCCAAGATAAGTCTATATTCAACCTTCATAATCTATAAATGTGACCTTGGAGAAAGAGTCTTTACGGATCTAAGTAAGAATCTCAGTACGAAGTTATCTCGGGTTATTGGTTGGTTCTAAGTCCAATGACAAGTGGTGGTGGTGGTGGTTTTTAACTTTATTTATTTTGATTTGATCAGAGAGGGACAGTGAGAGACAGAAAGCCCCCCACGGGGGTGTAGGAAAGGACTGTGGATCCTGGCTGCAGCAGGTGGCACCTCCCAGAGGCTGCCTGCTCTCCAGGAAGAGCCTGCACTCGTTTTAGATACCAGCTCTGTTGTTTGACTTAGAACAAGCTACTTAACCCCTCTGGGTATCTCTATCTGAAAAGTAAGGTGAGCCATGCCTATTGTGAAGGACCATTATAAGGATGAAGTGTGGTGACATTAAACGAGGGCACTTAGTAGGTGGCAGTAGATGAGAGCGATTGCTAGGTTGGTATATGTTCAGTGGTGCGATGTCTTTTGATGAGAGTGGATAGGGGAAACAGCCCTGCGGGTCTGAGGGTAAGAACGTCTGTCACTTCATGTTCATGCCTCAGTTTCCTTTGTTGAAAGGCAGACACCGTCTGTTTATGGGAAAACATGGTTTCCGCAACCCTGTCTTCTAATAGCCAGCTCTTTATTTTGGAGCCCTGTGGCTGCAGTCTTTTTTTTCCTCCAGTTGCCGGAGGGCACATGTACTCTGTGTGTGTGTGTGTGTGTGTGTGTGTGTGTGTGTGTGAGAGAGAGAGAGAGAGAGAATCCGTGATGGGGTGTGGTCACAGTGTAATCTCTTCTCCATTTCTCCATCCGTGTGATTTTGGGTATGCATGTGCAAGTGCCCAGTGTGTTTTTCAAGCCTCTGGAGCTGGGATTCGAACTACAGCCAGCCATGTGGGATCCAGCTCTCTTAACCACCAGGCTACGGGGCCAGCCTTGACTGCTGTCCTTAAGATGCCCTTGGAGCTGGCTTGGCTTTGGTGCACGAGCAAGGTTTCTGTTGCTAAAGTCAGTGGGACACCCCCCCCTTCCCCATCCCCAGATGTCCATGGTGCTTCCAGAGACTTGACTCAGCACTGTCAGTTTCTGGATCGTTCTGCAGAGACCCTTGGAATTTCCATCCCCTCCTTTCCAGGCAGTGGGCAGCACTGGTCTGGCCCGCTCCATGAGGATGCTGGTGCTCCTGACACAGGTCCTGTAGCCTTTCCTGGAGGAGACTCAGTGCCTGGAAGGGGTCTTCTGGAAAGGGTGGGCTCAGAACTGTGCAAATTTCTCAAGAAAAGCTGCTGGTGGCTTCAGTTAAGCACTTCTCACTGCCCAGACCTTTGAAGGACTGGCCAAGTCATCACCCCCATTTTACAGAGAAGGAACTAGAGGCCCAGAGAGTTAGGGCTCTTACCCACTGCTGCCTGTGGGTCTGTGGTGGATCTTGCCTTCAGCTGAGGCCTCCTCGGGCTGCTGTGGTGGGCTGGAGGCCATTCTGGCAAGTCTGGTGACTTCTGAAATGTTCCCCTTTGGGGTGGCCTTTGCCCAGGCTTCAAGATCTGAAGCGTGCTGGTCCCTGGAGAACTGGAAGAACCCTAGCCCTTGGCCAAGGTCTTCCAAAGAACCACAGTGCCTGGTGGACAGGCTGGCCACGAGCACAGGGGTGCAGCGCTGCCCCCATTCTCGAGAACACCCAGTGGTTCATGGCACATTCAAGTTCTTCGGCCACCAGGGCCTGCATTTTTCCCAGTTTAAGTCAGCACGTCCTAAGTGTTCTATGAGGTTCGAACACATTCCTAGTAAAGGAAAATATGCGGGTGGACTCCACCTGCTGAAGTGCCCTCACATTCCTCCTTTGCTGGGTGGGGACTCTCTCCTGGCTGAGTCTATTCAAGGGCTCTGGTAGCCACCCAGGTGCACCTGTCCAGGGAGAGCATCCTCCCAGAGCTGGGCTGCTCAGAGATGCACCAGCCAGTAGTGGTGGGTCTGCAGGCAGCCTAATGGCTGAGCTGGCTGGGGACGCATGCGTGGGCATCCTAGATGGCCCTGGTCTCAGCCCATGTACCCCACCAGCTATGCCACTGGGAGGTGGGGCCACGAGGTGGAGGAGCTGTGGCTCTGTGGGGCAGGGTAACTGAGTGTTTCGAGGTTGTGGTGTCCTGGGTGTGGAGGGAGAGGCCCTCTTGGGTGGGAGACGGTGCTGGGAGAAGAGTGCAGGGAGAAGAGTGGGTGAGAGTGTTCTCAGTGGAGAGCGCCTGGTGAGCTGGGCTTGAGGTGCGGAGACTGGAGAGGGGCTGTGGAAGGGGCAGGCTGTACAGGACGGCTGGAGAGCCCAGGAAGACTGCAGTTATGGGGTACTGAGGCTTTGGGTCTGGCCACAGGTGTGAGCATGACATTCCCACCAGGAGAGGTCCAATTGCAGGCTCCAAGACCAAAACTGGGACGTCCGCTGGTCCTGTGCTCAGGCCCGGGGCTCTGGGCATCCTGCCCTACTGAGCAGCACCGCGCTTTCAGAGCCAGGGGAGGCCTCGTCTGCAGAGGGCAAGAGGCAGGCTTTTCTTTTTCCCTCCTCTCCTCTCCCCTCCCCTCCCCTCCCTTCCTCTCCCTTCCCTTCCCCTCCCCTAATTGCCAACAGGCATGTGTGTTCACCAGAGAGAGATGGAGAGAGAGGAAAAGAGAGGGAAGAGAAAGCACCTCTCCGGGAGGCATGTTCACACTGCAGTCTGTTTCCATTTTTCCACACTGCCGGGATTTGGGACACGCACATGCACACAAATACTTTTTTTTTTTAGAGGTTTTTGCTATAGGGCACATGCACTCGCTAGAAGGACAGAGAGACGGAGAGGCAGAAAGCGAGAAGTTACCTCCCGGGGGGATGGCCGTGCTGCAATCCCTTCTCCTCCATTCTCCTCTCAGGATCTTGGGCACGCACACATACGCACCCGGCATGAGTTTAAGCCACCAGGTATGGGACTCGAGCCACTGGAGCCAGGATTTGAACAATGCGGTTGGCCATATGGGATTCAGCTCCCATTAACCACCACACTAAGAGGCCAGCCCAAAGCTGACTGTTCTGGATTTGGGGCTGAAGGGGTTCAAGCAGAAGCACCAGGCCCCTCACGTTCCTGGAGTCCTATCTGAAGCCGCCCAGGGGTTCCTGTCTTGTGGATCCTGACTCCCACCAGCCGTCCTGCTGGGACATTCATAGAAGTCTGTTTTCCCAGAGGGTTGAGGGGTTGTCTCATACACACACACACACACACACACACACACACACACACGCATCCCCGGGCCTCATTTCTGGGGCCTAGGGAGGTGTGAGTGAAGCCTGGATGTGGCTGTGTTGGGCATGGGGGTTGGACTTGAGCTGACTGGGAGGAGGGACAGGCTCAGGGCCAGGCTGAGCTTCAGAGTCTCTGGGCTCCCCAAAACGCCCAGTGGCAGGGGCGAGTTATGGGGAGAGCTGGGGGGCAGGCCACCTCCCTAAGGTGGAGGCCCTGAGGGCACTCCTCGGACCACCGCCCACCTCCTCCAGGTACTCTGGGTACCCTCCTCGGTCGCAGCGTCTGTGAGAAAGGTGGGCGCAGCCCAGCCAGGTTCACGCCACCACACCCAGCGATCCCCGACACGTGGAGCTGTTTTCCCCAGTTTGCGGGTTTTCCACTTCATTCTTCAGAGGGGCTGTTCCTCCCTCAGTGTGTCCCCAAGCACTGAATAGATGCAGGGACTCTCTTTCTGTCTTTAGCCAGAAGCAGATTTCCCCGTCCCAGCAAGCAGAGGCAGGAGCCTGGAGTCGATGCAAGCCCAGCCCCAGGAGCCCGTCAGCGTGCCCCAGACGCTCACCAGCACACTGGAACACATCGTGGGCCAGCTGGACGTCCTCACCCAGGTAGGCCGCCACGCGAGTTCGCGCTCATCCGCGCTTGGGCTGGCTGGGTACCAGCTGAAGGTGGCCCACAGGCGGGGTTTGGAAAGCACGCCATCATCGCGGACCTGTGGTCCAGTGCAGGTGAGTGAAACAGCAGTGCCTGCCTGTGGTCCTGGCTTCTGGAGCCCGCGGAGCCCTGGCCGCGCCACTAGACAACGAATCACCGAGGCTGGGTCCTGCCTGGTGCGCCCAGAGCTGGCCTGTGCCACCACAGAGCACTGAAAGGAGCGCTGCACTTGCCAGCTCACCTGTTCTCCGCCGGGCAGGCGCTCCAGGGACATGCTGGGGAGCTGCGAGCAGGGCGTCGAGGCTTCCAAGAGCCCAGACTCTGGATTCCAGCCTGGCACCTGTCTTTATTCTCCGAGCGACACTGGAGAAACCCTTCCCTCCTCCCAGTACTGGTGTGTCTGTGATGTGCGGGCGGCCGTGAGCTCTGCCTCCACGTTCCCGGTGAGGATTAGGGAGGTGAGTCTGGGACAGTGCTTGGCCCACGCCTGGCTCTGGGTGGCCACTCAGTAAACGCTGGCTGTGGCCCTGACCTCCCGTCAGTGAGACTAGCTGTGGTCCCCGCCCTTCGGCAGCTTGTAACAGACTCATGGCGCGGCAGTTCCAGCTAAAGCACAATGTCACTGAGGTCGCCAGCACCACTGGGATATGCCCAGTGGGGCATCTCGCCCCAGGGGGGGATAGAGGTACTGGCAGAGGGAGCACCCCTGCCTGCAGGCAGCAGGGGGGACCCTGGGCACCTCCAGGGAATGAACAAGGCTGGGATGTGGGCAGGGGGCTGGATAGGATCCACAGTCCCCCAACTCCTGTCTCCTTGGCTCTTGGCGCCAGCCTAGAACTCTGCAGATTCCCCTCTTCTGTGCTAACGTATGGATGGAACGAGGCTGTGGTGGGGAGACGTGGGCCATGAGAGGAAGAGGGGTGTCAAAGCCAGGGTGGGGTGGGAGCAGCATGGAAGCACAGGCCCTAGTTCAGCCCGCACAGAGATGCAAAGGACCCGATGTCCCAATCAAGTGGAGCGGAAGTGGCCTCCTTTCCCCACCCCTGGATCTCGGGCAGAGAGGAAAGCTCCTTCAGGTTGTGTCACGTTGCCCGTGGCATGTCACAGTGCCAGCTGGGACTGCGCACCTCGGGCCCAGGGAAGGAAGCATGCACGAGGGGAGAGGCCAGGTGTCCGTGATGGGGGCTGGGGGACCGCACGGCACGGCGTGCAGGTATTTCTCCACGCCGGGAAGAAAGCGTGTGCTGGGGCGGGGCGGGGGGGTGGCAACACGCAAAGACTTAAAAACCAGACCCACTTCCAAGCCGTCAGAAACTGGCTAACGTTCTTCACAGCCTCGTCAAGTGAGAGATCAAGGGGGGTGGAATCAATTAGAACTTTCCAGGATAAAATTGGAAATTAAGTCTGAGAGGATGGTTAAAAATAGCAGTGCTGGATGCAGAGGGCGTAACGCTGCAAACATCTCCTGTCGCTGTGTTTTCGGGGCGCACGTGGAGGCTTCTGTGTCAGTGGTCGGGAGTGTACGGCAGCACTGGTCAGGGAACTCACATCTAGACGATGAGGGCAGGCCCGCCCCTGGCCTGCGGCTGGGGTCTGGGCGGCTCTGGGCACCCGTGTCATGCTCCATGCCGTTCAGCCCCTTGGCGGAGCCAAACGGCAGTCCTCTGCTGCCAGAGGCAAAGCCAGTGCCGTCTGTGTTTCTGGCTGCCATGAGACGGGAGGGTTCTCGGGAGACTTCGTGTGTCCTGAGGGAACGGGATTCCACAGACCACACCCCAAATTGAAGCCTCAAAGTTCAACCTGTTTTTAGAACTTGCGTCTCTGGTCACCTGACCTTACTCGGCCGCAGCTGTACCCCTGGCACCTCTAGCTGAGGTGTTTCAGCCGCCGCCAGGGCAAGCTCCACTGGGGGTTGGAGGTTTCCCCAGAGCTCTTCTCGGGCTCCACACAGCAGCGAGCAGGCCCACAGCAGACCCGTTCCCTAGGGCAGGGCCCAGCCGCCACTGCCGTCCTTCTTCCCGGCCATGTGGTCCGATCTGTAGGTATCGGCCTCAAGAGCTGGCCCCTCGGCAGGTGCCCGTCACCATCCACTGGTCCTGACTGCATCTGTGCTCTGCCCAGCGGTGTCTGGCCACCCCCACATGGCACCCCCACAAGCCATCACACAGTTCCCCCTGCCCATGAGGACGTCTACTTCAGAGCGGCCTCTGAGAGGGAAACCGGGTCCCCAGGCCTGTACCCTGCAGAACCTCTTTTTAGGGAACACGGAGACTGCAGGGGCGACAGTCATAGCCGTGTACTGAACAGTCACGAGCTTCCTGCCCCCAGGCTGCACAAGCAGGGCACCCACTGCTGAGCTCACAGTCCTTGCAGCCTCTCCTCACCAGGCTGGGGTGAGCATGGCAAGGCCACCTCTGGGTGCTTGCGGCACCAGTGAAGGTCCAGAGACCCAGTTTCAGTCCTGCTTGGGCGACCTCTTCCACAGCACCTCTATGTAAGGCAGAGGCCTGGAGGCCAGGAAGCTGAGCAAGCCCCTGGGAGGAGTGGCTCCAAGCAGCTTCGTCACTGCCCAGCTCAATGACCTGGGGCAAGTTGCTTAACCTCTCTGTTCCTTGCTTTCCCAGTCCTAGAACTCAGAGCTGGTAATATTAATAGCACCCACTTCACAGGCCTCATGGCAGGATGACTGCTGGCCCGTGTGAAGCTCCTCGAACAGTGCCCACCGTGGCTGCCAGGTGCCGCCCCTGCTGCTGCCATGGCTGCATCTTCGTGGCGGCACCAACATCCCCTGCCTGTGGCGCGAGGCCCTTCCCTGTCCAGGAGAGCCACTCCTCGGCCTCCCAAGCAGAGGTGTCTGAGTCCCTCTGTTCTGTGTGAGGACCCCCCCATCCCGCTCTCAAGAGGTCCCCAGGCTGAATCTCTGGATGACAGAGCCAGGCCCCCAAAGAGGAGCAGGCAGCTGAGGCCACGGGAGACAGCTGGGAATAGCACGTCGGGTGGGGCACAGCGCGCCTTAGGCCACGGCCCTCTGCAGTAGGATAATGAACTGCAGCCTGGGAGTTTGACTCCATCTGGTAAGACACGGAGCAGAGCAGCTCGCCTGACTGTGCGGGGTGGGGTGGAGGTAAGGGCAGGGAGGCTGGCAGTCAGGCAAGGGGCAGAGCTGTTATGGCTCCAGCCCTGGCAACTCTGCAGCTGCCCCAGCTTTGGTGCAGGACAGAAGAGGTAAGGAGACAAGCAGGACCAGGGCTGGCCCTTGCAGGGCTCCTGAGCAACCGAGCAAGCAAGGTGGCTGCCCCAAGCCCTCATGGGCCAGGAGACGTCTCAGATCAGGAGGCCAAACTGCCCTGGGGGTTTGTGCAGCCAACCCAAGAAACCCGGTCCTTGGGGCCAGCAGGTGGCATGGTGGTTAAGGCACTGGAATCCCACATAGCTAACCATGGTTTGAGGCCCGGCCCTACTGGCATGAAAATCATATCAGGTGTATGTGTGTGCATGCCCAAGATCGCAGAAGAAGAATGGCTCCATCCCTGTCAAGGGGAAGGGGGCTGACTTCTCACTTTCTCTCTCACTTCTCTGTCTCTCTCTGGCGAGCAAGCGCAGCAGAGCTGTCATGGCTCCAGCCCTGGCAACTCTGCAGCTGCCCCAGCTTTGGTGCAGGACAGAAGAGGTAAGGAGACAAGCAGGACCAGGGCTGGCCCTTGCAGGGCTCCTGAGCAACCGAGCAAGCAAGGTGGCTGCCCCAAGCCCTCATGGGCCAGGAGACGTCTCAGATCAGGAGGCCAAACTGCCCTGGGGGTTTGTGCAGCCAACCCAAGAAACCCGGTCCTTGGGGCCAGCAGGTGGGATGGTGGTTAAGGCACTGGAATCCCACATAGCTAACCATGGTTTGAGGCCCGGCCCTACTGGCATGAAAATCATATCAGGTGTATGTGTGTGCATGCCCAAGATCGCAGAAGAAGAATGGCTCCATCCCTGTCAAGGGGAAGGGGGCTGACTTCTCACTTTCTCTCTCACTTCTCTGTCTCTCTCTGGCGAGCAAGCGCATACACCCTATGACAAAAACCAAAAAGAAAGAGAACAAGAAAAAGAAACCTAGCCCTCTAACTCTGGAATGAGGATTGTACTGTTTCACTTTTGCAGGAATACCTGTTTTATAAAATGCATACATTATTTTTCAGAAGTGTGTA